CCCGTGGTGGGCAGAGCACAGATAGCCTATTGTGTAGCTTTGTACTTAATTACAAACAAACAAAATAAGGATATTGTTAATATAACATTTTGTGTTTTATTTCTTTTCTAAGGATATTATTACATCACCGATTTCTTACGTTTTCTTAAATTAATAATGTATATACAAACTATTGATGTCTTTCATTTAAAATATTAAAGTATTAAATTGCTAATTTCTTTTTCTTTGGGAGATAAATAAGATGTTAAAGTTATAGTTTCTCTGTTAGAAAACAAATGACAAACTTAAATTGCAATATCTCTGAGGTGTTATAAAATATTTTGTTTCTATTGCTAGGGTTGAAAACATGTATAAGCTATTCTGTTTCTAATGTATAGCCCCCAGTGGCACAGCGGTATGTCTGCGGACTTACAACGCTAGAAACCGGGTATTGATACCCTTGGTGGGCAGAGAACAGATAGCCCATTGTGTAACTTTGTGTTTAATTACCAACACGTGTTTGGAATTTCGTGCGTTATTTGTCGTCCAATTTTCTGATTAGATTATAATCACGTAGATTTGAAGAACATGCAGAGTGGTAATCAATGACCAGTTGTTATATTTATAACAGCGGTTATTCTTCGGACTAATAAGCCAAAATCCGGGACTCGATTCCTCGAGGTAGACGCAGCAAATAGCCAATTGTGGCTTTGCTCTAAAAAAACAAACAAATCTTTTTCCGTCCCTATCGCCATCTAGCGGTAATTAGGTACAAGCGTTCCATATATCTGATGCTTACATGAAACAATCTGTATATGAAAAACAATGTGAACTGATAAACGATATTTAATATACTACTAACAACAACAAATAGTAAACGCACCTCAGGAATTTGTCTGATTAAAATTACTTCTTTTTTTAAATTTGGAAACGTTCGTGGACATTTAAAATTTGAATTATTCTCCCCAAAAACATTTTGCAACAAGTGTTCATTTCCTTTTCTTTTTGTGTAGGAATAATTTTGTTTTTACAGGGTTTCTCGTGAAGTTTCTGTTAACCCCCTATCGTAGATAAGTTTAGAATAATATGACGTCACACAATTAATACAACTTAGATATAAGGCTTAGCAGTGACAATATACACCATTTAGTATTAGGCTGTCACCTTAGTAACCAACTCTCGCTTATTAACGTAGGATTCTATTGTCTAATGTTTCAAGTGATATGTGAATGTCAGTGGAAAGACAGGAGAAAATAACCATGAAATCACTAATGACATAAAAAGTTGAAGCTGGCCCTGACAATTTCCTCCCGTTTTACCCGCCCCTCCTATCAGTTACTCAACTCGAAAACCAATCACAGCGTTCTATTTATCCGACACGCACGATATCTTAAGGAAGGTAGGCACACCTGGTAAGACTCAGTGGATGTCGATGTAACATGGACCATGGCAGTTGTAAAGGTAACGTCCTATCTACTGACCAGCGCTTTAATTCTAGTCTTCTTCCACTTCTCTAACGGTAGGTGGTGCTTTAAAGATAAAAACATCTAAAATAATTGGCACCAGTTGCCAAATATAAATATGATGATTTAACGCACTCTTTTTTTTTTTTTGTAAAATATGTTAGAAAAATTTTATTTCTGTTCTCACTAATTAAGTGCTTCTATTTTTCTTGAATATGATAACATATTTTACTAAGTACCTTTTAAAGTTTCAGTGCTAAAGAACTTGTAATAAAATGTCAAACGTTAAAGGTATACGTGTGTTCCATAAAAAACAGGTTTGTTTCGGACATTCGCGCAAAGCAAGCTACTGTCCCTACTTTTGAACTGATAGGCTAGAGGGAAGATAACCAGTCAGCAGCACACACCGCCAACTCTTATGCTACTCTTGGCTGATCGGTTTTGTTTGTTTGCTGTTAAACACAAACTACCCAATAGGCTATCTGTACTGTGCCCACCACGAGTATCGAAACCCTATTGTTAGTGGCATAAGCCCTCATACTGCGAACCACGGAACCTGAGCTCCACAGCCCAGCACGATAACCACTACGCCATTGCTCGGCCTACGTAAACACAGACTTTAGCAATAAAATTGTGAATTTGTTGGTACTATTTGTTTACGTAAATTAACAACCCAAAGAAATAAACCTGATGACCATTAGAAAGTAGGATATATCAAGAACTGTGATACTCTGTACTGAGTTTGAACTATATTAAATATACTAATAATATCGTGGCGTCGTTTAAGAGAAAATATTTGGTTTCATATTTGAATATTAAATCCAGAAAATATAACTGAAGAAGAAAACGTCACTCAATGATATTAATTAAAAGAATAATTCGAGATCTAACTGAAGAGTGAGTATTCCAAGTGTTATATCTGAAGTACAATATTCATACACGTGGGGTGTTACTCTCTTCACTTAGTGGCTTCTCTTGACAATTGTCCCACATTGGCACAGCGGTGTGACTGTGGACTGCTAGAAACCGAGTTTCGATATTCGTGGTGGGCAGAGTAGCTTTGTGCTTAACTACAAGCAAACCCTTGGCAGTCTTGTAGGTGAGAGGGTATTTATCCTTACACTGTCACTGTTTCCCCTTAGGCATGTAAAATTGTCTTGCGATTAGCAAGTGAAATCTTTCCATGACTGGTCTGTAAGGGAAGTGTTCGCTGGTCATGTGGTAATAATGAAAACAAAATATTCAGGTGACACCATGATGACTTTCAAACTCCGGAGCAAGCAACCGAAACCCGAGTATAAAAGCATGGGCATACCTTTCTTTTCTTTTTTTAATGGGGTAAAATATTGTGCTTCTTTTAGAATATTCGCGCAAGGCCACGCAACTGGCTGTCTGCCCATAGTCGCCCTTAATTAGGGGGAAAACGGCTAGTCAACAATACCCACTATCAACTCTTCAACTAATGTTGTTTGACCGAATAGTGGGACTTTACTGTCACTCTTTTAACGCACCCACGGCCTCAAAATGCACAGAGTGTTTTTGCAGCAGTGGGATTCGAAGCATGAGCTTTTGAATTTACATTTCATATACGCTAACTACCTGGCTCTGTATAACTTATATTTATGAAAAATATAAGCATTTGCATAAAGTGGTACTCAAAACATTTTAAAAAACTTTTAAATACTTATGTAATTAGAATAGACTCAGGAAAAGATGGTCCCGCTAAAAACGAACGGTACCGGTAATAATACAAAGCGGGCCAAAAATAGCACTTTAAAATTTACTTGTTTATTCCACAAAAAAACAACAACGAAATACTGAAAAAGTTGAATAATTATGATTCTTACATTGGCCTAATACAATCGCCATTAATTAATACCAAACGCCGACTTGGGTACCTGTCTTACGTTAGCCTAATAAAGCGTTATTAATTACTACCGGATGCCGATTGGGATACCTGGCTTACGTTGGCTTAATAAAAGCGTTATTAATTAATACCGGATGTCGATTGGGATACCTATCTTACGATGGCCTAATAAAAGCGTTATTAATTAATACCGAACGCCGACTTGGATACCTGTCTTACGTTAGCCTAATAAAGCGTTATTAATTACTACCGGATGACGATTGGGATACCTGTCTTACGTTGGCCTAATAAAAGCGTCGTTAATCAATACCGGACGCCGATGTGGATACCTGTCTTACGTTGGCCTAATAAAAGCGTCGTTAATCAATACCGGACGCCAATTTGGATAATGATCTGAAAGCAACTCGATTATGTGAGTTCTAATTGTCTACACCGTATTACAGTCAATATCTCTTTATATAAGCAGCGAAAGACGTTTTCTATATCAAAGAGTTTTTTTTTTTTAAGAAAATCCAAAACCACTTAGATAATTTTGATTATGTTGTGTGCAGTGAAAGAGGAACAGTCGGTAATGGGACCTTCTAGTGGCTACATCTTGTATAATTCTCATGGTTCATGTATTTACGAAATGTTCAGAACCAGACGTAATAAGATTGAAATTAATTCAAGTTAGTCCTAGTTTGTTATAAAAAAAATAAAAAATAAGTGAGAATATACCTTATAAAGGTGGTTTTGTCATCAACAGTCACACAGCGAAGATTAATAGACATTAATGATTATGTTTTGAATATTATGTATGCCTATCTAGTATGGTGGATTAAACTGTTTAGATTAAACTAACAAACTGATGTAATAAGCGGCTGAAGAGGGACTTCCTGGGTAAACAATTATTTTCATTTTTTTGTTCAAAAACAAACGTTGTTGAGTTGTTTCATTTCTCTTCTTGTATAAATGCCGTGATGTAAATTATTACGTTACAGGATAGTTTCTTCGGCATCGTGCAATGCCACTCAATACAAATATGACATTGGACAAATTATGACATTAAAATGATTCTGAAAAGTAAAACTTTGGTATTTGTGTTTTGACGTTCGTTGTCACTCGTTGCCATGATTAATAGCCCATACTATGGCGGAAGTTTAATTAGTTATTAGCAACTTTTTGATTTATTAGATACTACTTATTAACTAGTTTTATCCTACGTTTTGGCTGCGCTAATCTGTCGCCGTCTTCAGGGATATTCTGTTTTGGTAGTAGCCGGATTCGATCGTGGGTCTTCTTGATGAAAGTCTTTGTGAGTTATTCTTTCGACCTCAGTCTTAGACTTAGATGATCGTAAAGGCTACTTACTACCCATGACAAAGATTGGTATCCGATCACCACAACATTATCATAAATACTTTCACTGTCACCTTTATGGATAAACAACTTTCCTAGTGTCAGGTTTATTTTTAGGTACATAATATTAAAAAAAAGACACTTTGGGAAATGTGTAGAGGAATACCCTTTCTTTATAATGGTATAAAACTCCTAATTCACAAGAATGAGTTAACTAACTTTTTTATTAACAATAATGCGAATAATGAACATCCGTATTCGTAATATGAACACGCTAAACACACGGCTAAAAATAGAATGTATAAGTATATGAACATTCAGATTCATAGCCTGACCTCCATAGTGAATTAGCGGTAAGTTTGAAGGCTTATAACGCTAAGAAACGGGCTTCGATACCTCTAGTGAGCACAGAACAAACATCCCATTGCAAATCACAGTCCGGACAGCACAGCTCGAAATCGAATGTATATGTGCATGTAGATATGAGGAGGAGATATATGTGTTCATGGCAGTGAGAGAGAAAATTATTTAGTAAATAAATTTACTCTCAGAACTTTCAGTTGAATCATACATTTCTTATGTTCTTTAACACGTCACTTAAACATAGTTAACTGCTAAATTAAATTTTAAAACGGCATTTACTTCAGAAAGAACAGGAAAATCCTGGTGAATGTGATAAAAGTTAAAGCAGTTTGCACCCATGAAAGAAAGTTTTTTTACAGATTATTTTTAACTAAAGTAACCTTCTCAAACTTTAAATTTCACTATTTGATGTCAGTTAAAATCATTTATACTGTAACCCATTAATTAGAAGAATTTATGTACTGGGCATCTAAAAAAAAAAGGAGTTATTCCCTGACGAAAATATTTTGTTCTGATTGATTTAAGCCTTTCAACCTTGTTAGTGCCTTTATTTTCTCATGTTTAAATGAGAAGTGGTAATAATACTGACAGCACTATTCAGTTTGGAAATAAGGCAAAATAACTTCACGCTGAAGCTAAAACGTAATTATGTTGCTAATCGAATTATTGCACTGTGATTTAAGGAAACGGATTTCAAAGTGTGTGAGATTTTTCGTCTTTAAGAATAAGTTGGTTTGACTAATAAAAACAAAACCGCTTTTTAAGAAAAAGAGTAGATGAGCAACTACTATGTTAATTCAAGCTCTCGACATTGTCACACAAATTGTTATTAACTTATGACGTATTATCAGATTTCAAGGCTATTATTTAAATATCATTTTTCACAGTGCAGTATTTTATAACATACAGTTTATCACAGGCGGAGGAACCAGAAAGCAGGAGGAAAATTAGTTTCCTCCCCCAACCACCCCCGTCTACGCCTGGTGGGGTCAGGTTAATTACTGTTAATATTTTTTTGGCTACTATACATTACTTGTTTATGTTTTACGATCCGCGTTCTATAAGTGCTATATTTGGGGGGAGGGGGGTCATACCTCCTGATCATCATAGAATTATCATTTTCACATCTCAAATGTACTTCCTACCCCATTTAAACTCTGCTTCCTCAACATTGTGTTTTTTGTTTTGTTTTTCGTGTTTGATTATACTTTATTGATATGGTTGATAGTTGACTGGAAATGGTTGATATGGTTATTTAAAGTAATGTTTAGCTGAACTGTGTTAAATGTAGCTCTGTGTGAAGTTAGTGTTGTACTCGATATTATTACTTGAAATTGCAGTTTAACAGGACTGTATCATTATTTTTGTTTGAAAGTGGCGTTTAACTGGACTAATCGATAAGGTTT